ACAGCCTTGGGTTTGATTCCCAGGTCCACGCTGGCCGTGTCCAAGCTGCGCTGGTTGGTCTTGGCGTTGTAGCAGGAAGCCGAGCGGCAGTGGTCTCGCAGCCAGACAAAATCAAAGCGCATCAGTGTGTTTGCATACCTGAGCTCTGCAAAGAAGGACAGGCTCAAAAAATGCACTGGTGCCTGGAGCACACGAGTTCTGATCCCACTTAGAGGGTGCAGAGGCCGTTAGCCTTAGCATCTCTTTACATAGATTAAGCTAGCTTGTCACAGGATGAAGACCAGGCAGAAGACCTTCACAGAAGGCCAGGCGGTCAGCATTCTTGCCGTGGTCTCCCTTCTTACCAATCTACAGGCAATCTCATCCTGCAACAGGAAGGAGCGCGGCTAACAGACATGCTGGTCACATACTTACATCTATCATCTCTCCAACAAGTAGTAAATTCAGAGCTGTACAGCAGCTGCTGTACATAGTTGTAGAGTCCAGCACAGGAATGCAGATTAAGAGTCAAATAAAACAGCTAAGCAAGACTCAAAGCCCTTCAGAAGGGGGTCAGAGCCAGCAGGGGCAACAGGAGAGTCCCTCCTGCTCAGCTTTGAAATCCAGGTATCCAAGGTCACTTTGCAGTGGGACAACAACAATGTCCTTTCTTGGGGCCACTTCGTTGGATAAAGTACCAAGCAACTCCCTTTTGCTTACAAGTGATTCAGTACCAACATCTAACTAGCCCCAGGCAGACAGACACAGGACCAAACCAAACAGGCCATGGGGCAACACGTGCCTCAGGTACCAAGTCACCTCCAGACACAGAAGGACAGAAAGCAGCATCAGACAGCATTTATAACTGGCTTGCTGTGTTACTTCACATTAAGACACACTCTCCCTGCTTCTTCCTCAAGCAGTCTCACAGCAAGGTACTATTTCCATCAAAAAGGCTTTTATGCCCCCCAGCTCCTGCTGCTCAGGTCATCCAGCCACGCAGAGAGGCTGCAGGCAAACCCGCTCCAACGACCGTGGTCCACACATCAGTGTTTTAGGGAAAACCTGCACAAGTGGGGACAAGAGAGCTGGGCACACACCAGCCAGCCACCCTGCCTGCCAGAGCCCCGAGCCTTACACAGAAAGTAAGTGCCTGGCAGGGCAATGCAGTTATTGTTCAGGAATCCCTCAATTCCATTTCCAATTTAACCATTGCCTCGTCGATCACAAAAGTGATCACAAAAGCGGACCTGCTGTATCCTGCCTTTGGGAATTCCCAAAGGTAACATGAAACACGAACTCCAGCGTGCATCCCTCTAAGGCAGGCCATTTCAGAAGAAAATAAAAAATACACTCCCAGGGAAGAAGGTTGGGAAAACCTCACTCCTCTCCCCAGACAGACTCAGAAGCAGGTACACACACACCCAACACACCTACCTAGATGATCACCATGCAACTGCCAGGCACACTTGAGGGACTCCGGGGCTGTGTGATGCCAGCGAGCTGCAGGAGGGAGGACGATCCTTCTGCCACGGGGCAGCCATGGCGAGCGATGTCTCGTGCTTCCACTCAGCCGGCAAGGCACCTTGAACAGACACGCCAGCCTCCTGCACCACATCCTGAGCAGCCAGGAGAGAGAGAAAGAACAAGGTGACTGGGCTGTGCTACTGCTTCACATTCCCAGGTTTGATCTCTGCGCTCCTACGCCAGGCACCATAAGCACTTCTGGGAAGGGTGGTATCATCCCCACAACTGTAATTTAACTGACAAAAGAGGCGAGTGAGAACTAGTCCACTGGGGAGGAAGAAAAGAAATGGGCACGATGACTGGCAGCCTGACCAGAGGAGAGAGTCACCTACCTCCTAGGCACCACTTGGACACGAAAAATAACTAAACACAGAGTTTGGAGTCTCATATAAAACACCTTCACTGCCAAGCCTGAGTACCAGCGTCACTTTTTCATTCTCCCAGTGACAACGCAATCAAGCATGCTGCCAAGCTTTTTCCAGCACCTACAATCCACGCTTACTGTTAACAACACGCAGACGACGCAGCAATCTCCACCGAATCAGGTGCTTTGCCCTCGTTTAGGCCAGCTGCAGCAGATACTTTTGCAGACATCACCAACACCTCAGAGGAAGACTGTGAAGTTGCACGTGAAAACTTGCTGCCCTCAAAACCAGCATGTAATGGAAGGAAGAGGGAATTTACCGTTAGGGGCGCAAGGAATATTTTTAAACAAGCTAATTCAATCTGTGCACATCAACTGGAAACAGGAGGAGGGACAAAGGTGTCTTGCTTATTTTGTGACCACTGTAAACCACAGCAGAAAACAGTCCTGAGAAGAAACAAATGAGATCCTAGGATTTATCAGGCAAAGCCATTCCAGGAGAGACAGCTGTGTCTTCAATGCTCCTATGCAAAATACTGGCAAAACCTCATCAGCTGCAGGTCTTGTCCCCTCTCCGGCTTTCCCAGTTTAAGTTCACCATTCCTGGACAGAGCTACAAGGATCAGGGAAGTGAAGTGACCTTGGTAAGAGAAGCAAGGACTCGAGGAACCCAGTAACTGGGTCAGTTCTAGAAGTATGCAAAACAATGAAGAGGAGGAGGAAGATCTTTACTTCTGCTGAAGGACACAGCTGGCATGGAAAAGAAACCAACTGTGGTTAATTTTAGGCTAGAGATTAGAAAGCAATTTCTCAGAGGGAGATCTGTAACAACTCTTCAGCATAAAAAGAGCAAAAACCTTGCAAGTTTTAAGATATGAAGCCATGGTCAAAATGTCCTGTCATGTTTATTAATTTCTAGAGCTCAGGTCTAAACCCAGCAGGATTTTAACAGTACTTTGGTTTGAAGTGGATAGAAACGCAGTGTCACTAGATAAGATACAGAGTCAGAAAGCATTTCTTATCCTGGACTTCTGATTTTCCTTCATTTTCTTATCTGAAAAGTACAGGGACTGGGGCTTTGGCTGTCCAACCTCCTTCCCCACTTCATAGCTGATTCAGCGCAGAGATCTCAAAACTTGGTAGTAACAATAAAATCAACAGAGGTGCCGTATTCCCAGACAACAACTTGTTAAGTAGGAATACAATAAAATACAGTTTTGCGAGGTTTTGGCCACAGCCTGTGTACAACTCACTGACAGCTTTAGCGCTGCAGAAAGATTTTAACTTGGAATTTCTGATTTCTGCAGCTGCTAAAATGCAATGCTCAGGCCTCGGCAGGCTGCAGGGAACCAGGCTGTCCTGCGAGTCAGCTGGTTTCAGACCAGAAGCTGATGTTTCGCTCCACGTAGCGGGAGGGGAGGCACTGGGAGCTCCTTGCTTGCTGCCTGACACCTGCCCTAACTGAGATCTCTGCTAGCACAGCTGACCTTGTACTTCAAACACCACTGGGAAACTCTTCATCGATGCCGACTGAGCCGTGACATCCTGAAGGACTCCAGCATTCTCACTACAGACAAACTGGGGCGCTGCAGAACTTACAGAGCCTGAGCCACAGTTACCAGGCATCTGAAGACACACAAGAACAATGACTTTCCCTTTGGTGGTCTCCAGGCAGCCAGAATATCAGTTTTTTGTAGAAATGCCAATGCTAAGTTCTGGGGGAATGCTTTCCGACACCCCTCTCCACTCCCCCAGCTTTGAAAATGTAGTATAGGAAAAAGAATTAGCCAAATTTGATATGCAAAGTTAATAACTAAGTGAAGAAAATCTACAGCTATAGTAAACCAGGAGCTGACTATGATGTTTATTGACTTTCCAAAACTTAAAAAGTGATTTAACTTCCTGACCCAAGCATTACGACTCACAAAGCTTAAGATTATTCTTTGAGAAAGACACACAGGAGGGAAGACTCTGTCCAGTTTGGCTTTTGGATATCAAGGACATCCACTAACCCAAGAATGGGGCAGGGGAAAGAGGAGTAAGCTTGTTTGCGCACGCCTGGTGTCTCCTCACACAGGACCCAAAACTGACGGGAAAAGCTCGGCTACAAATCCATTTTGAAGGTGGCCTCTGCCTGGGGCGGCTCCAGCCACAGTTATCTCTTTCTGCACATGTTTCCTTTTATCTCCTCCTCTTCCAATATCAAAACTTACCAGAGAATAAACACAGGTAATGGTAAGTGACCCAGATATTTAATCTAATCAAGGAGACCTCTTGCTTTTCTGCTGTTCTGGCTGCAAGCAGACACCACAAACAGCTCACAGAGAAGCCTTAAATTAAATCTTTCCAAGAGATACTAAAACTAAGAGGAGCTGAAAACAACAACAACAGAGTCTGTATGATTAGAGAGGATTTACATTCTGCCTTTGTGTTTGGTTAATCAGAACTAACAGCTCTCTCCTGGCTGGAATCAGTTATGTGAGCACCTCACCTTTATGCCTCTCATCTTTATGTTGTCCAGACCACATGCAGTCCACTGGGCAGCAGTGAGATGCAGCAGCTCAGAGATTTCAAGACAAAATTTCCCTCAAAATTCAAAAACAAAGGGCAGGAGGAAGAAGACACTAGGCTACCCTGCATGTAAACACAAGTGGACTTTGAGAAGGGAGAGACGTTCAGTTACCAAGTCTGCCCAAGCAAGACAAAATCCCATGCAGACATTATAGGTGAAAACTCAAATATATCATGATTTGAGGAATTACCGTAAATCTCTTGAGATAAAAAGAGAGGAGAGATGCTGTGAAAAGAGGAGGAAGGAAGAGCAGAGGAGGAAGGAAGATCGGGCCTCATGAGGGGCTAGTCTGTCCAGGAGACTTCCTGCCTGGCCCTTCAGCGGTTCATCTCCCTGCTGACACAAGAGGCATTTGAAGTAACCAAGACTGGCTTTTGATAAAAAGCCACAATTCCCATTTTGAGCAAAGAAAAACACTGAGCTAGAAAAATGAGTAACCAAATAGTTTCAGCAATGAAAACGTACACGGAAGGAGAAACCACACAAGTCTGTGGTCTTTAGCCAGCTTTTAGCCAAAACCTTCCAGGAACACAGTGACGCTGGCCTGCTGGCACTAGGGAAGCCGCTCTGGTGCCCTAACTGCTGGTGCTGTGAACAGACCTGTTTCATCACCGTGACAGCGTGTCCAGCCTGTTTTTCGAGCTCATTTGACATCTGAAAAAAATTATCTGGTTTTCATTAAGCATTTCCAAACATCCAGTTGCTTACACTCACACATCCTTTTTCATGGCTAGAAGCACCTGGCTAAAGCAAAAGTTTCTGATCCATAAGAAATAGGAAAGTTCAGCAGCACAACAGGCCTTCCGAAAGAGAGAGAGAGAAAAAGAGAAAATAAATTGTTTTTTGAGGCAGCCAGAGAAATACTCTGTCCGCAGATCTCAGACAGGGCACACATCCTGCTGGCCTCTGGGCTACACATGGCTCATTTAGCCCGACATTTCCATCTGCTCTGGAAGACGTACCCGAACACCACACAGTGCCACTGCCTGAGCGAAGGTAAAACCCCAAGGAGCGTGCAAAGGCCGAGACAGAGCTGCTGCCTTGGAGGGCTGTGCCAGAACAAGAGGAGCGAAGTACGCTCCCCCAGGTGACAGACCCCATGGCAGGCCAAGTCCCCCGGGCTGGCAGGCATGCGCTTGGCTGTTCAGAGTTAAACCTTTAAACAGCCTGAGCTGACCTAGCTTACCTATTAATTACAAAAGAAACAAAAGGCAGATTGGCTGTCCCCTGCTGAGAAAGGCTCCTGCCCCCCCGCAGACTGCTCCGCTGCGGCAGACAACTATATTAGATCTCAGCTGTCAGGAATCAGATTCCCCTTCCAGCCCTTCCCCACAAGGGACCTCAATTAAATTAAGGAGCTAATAAAGACATCCCAGACACCACCAGGTTCACAGCTACTTCATTTTCCAAGAAATAAAGGTAATTATCTGCTCACCCCACCTTTAACGCCAACCACCTGACTCCAGACCCCCCTTCCCGTAACTTTATTGCAGTCTCCCGTTTGCAGTTACTTCATCCATCTGAAAGCAAAGCCTCTTCGGGCTGCACAGCTTCACAGAAACAAGCTCTTAACTCTTTTTTTTTTTTTTTTTTCTCCCAGCAAAGCAACCAGCCCTCGTGGTACATACCCCGCAGGGATACTTATTGCGGTAAACTCTCACTAAATCATTTTATTCACCCGCTCTGGGTCCTGCCCTGGCAGAGAGGAGCCAGGCAGCTCTCCGGGCAGGGAGGGGTTGTCTTTTTATCAGGGAAGGAGAGAAAAGAGCTCTGCCCATGAGCTGCAGGCTCTCGCTCCCAGGCTAATGGGGATCCAACAATCCCTACCCCAACTCCGCGTCGGCCAAAGTTACCTGGGACCGTGCGAGCACGGGGCTGAGGCGGGGGAAGCGATGGAGCGAGGCTTCAGGCGGGCTCGGGACGCCGAACAACCGGCCAAGGGCTTCCACCGGCGGC